CCGGTCGCAGTCTGCCAGAAATTGACTCACCGTTTCCGGGAGAGGGAGTTCGCTTTGCGCAGACATGGTGGTCAGAGACAAGCTTTTTGCTCCCGTTTACGCCGGTGTGCCGGAGCCGGACGGGCTTACCAAACATGCATTATGTACTTATTGATTATGTACATACAATTGATGTTCATTATCAACGGGACAATTTGCAAGGACATTGTCAGTCACATTGAGCGTATTTGCACAGTGCTTTCGATGGCTTTTATTGCAAAGCAAATGCGTTGTGCCCACAAAAATCACATCAAGATCACATCGCCGGTCCAATATCGATGAATGGAATATAAGCGAAAGATCTATTCCGTCGGCGGAATGAGCCGCACGCATTGACATTTGAGCATCTGAATGATGCGAGAAACCAGGAGAAGTAGAAAATATCGAGCTTTGTAACCAATCGAGGTCAATGGAAGGAGGGCGGCAACTTGCGGCGGGAATGATGGCCATCATGATGCGGCAAACCACGTGAGCGTGTTTCAACCTCGTTCGAATCTTCGATAGTTGAGATTGATTGGCATGTTTGCATACGAGGTCCTACGAGGTCCTACAGAAGGGCGATGTAATCTTATAAGGGGAAATCTCTTGTCACTAGAGCTTCCCGAGCAGCGTAAAGAAACAGTAGAATGCAGCGGCGCACAATAAAAGGACTTCGTGTGTCCGTGTCGGACTTGGGATTAACATGCGAGCTGTGGCTCAGGATGAGTATATCGCATCGAAAGTCCCAAGATTAGAGTTTGTATATCCGCTATCAAACTTCTTGCGCTACGTTACAACAGTAATTTCGTGGTCTCGCAGTGTGAACCTAAAACTTTGCTAGCCGGCGAATCTCGTCTACGGCCTCACCTTTGCGTGCTGTTCTCAAACCGTCGCCCATCTCGATCGCGTTCTTGGTTAGTGAAGCGCCTATCTCCCCGCGGGCATTCTCAAACGTCTTTCGGAACTCCTCCACTGCGTCGGCTTTATTGCCCCTGGGCGTCATCGCGGCGCCGCGGAGCGACTCGTAGGGAGGCGCAACGGTGTACTTGGGGCGTACCTATTCCAATGTAAACACTCATCGAAGTCCGCACGAGTCAAATATGACTTGCCTGTCTGAGCTCAATTGCGACCGGCCGAGGGCCGGAGGACAAGAACGCAGCGTTGATAGGTTGCTCCGCGCTCAGCGGCCATATGATGAGCGGGATACGCTGGGAGAGCGCCTCTGAAATCGAGCTGCGGGGGACGCGATCATCAGGGATGCGGAAAGTCCAAGAGGATTGTACCACGCACTTAAACCCGCCGTGCGTCAGGAACCAGCCGATGGTGCCTTGTAGGAGAATGGCGCGCTGCTCGACCCAGAAGTTGCAGATGAGCCCTTTGCCACTCGAGTTGACACTTTCGATTAGATCAGCGGGCAGGGATGCCATCTTGCCCCCAAGCGCGAAGAGGAAGGGGAAGTCGAGTTCGAGGAGCGTGTCCACGAGCGCTTTGACGAGTCCCTGGTTAGGCGGGAAGAACAGTGACCTTGCAGCATGTCAGTGCCTCCGGGGAAATGAAAGTCCGTAGCGCACCCGAAAGATATGTAGAGAACGGAACGAGGAGGGCGATTTTTCAAGAAGGCCTTCACAGTCTCGTTTGTAATGGGAGGCGGACTAGGCAGATCTTCGGTCCAGCAGAGCTCGTGCGCCTGGACCCCGATAGTGAACAGGTTCTTTCCTTGCGCCGCGTAGAGTTCGCGGCACTGCGGGACCCCGACGGGCTCAAGGCACGTTGCGGTGGGAGTGATGTACCCGTCTGCAAGCTTGCCGAATTTCTGCGCAGCGATGAAGAGATGCGCCATGCCGGGCGCCGGCGGCATTTCGTCGGAGAACGAAACGCGCTCGTAGTCATACATGTCCGGCATGCCGGGGCATTTAACGACCATTCCGGAGAGCCGGTCCGTCCCGTTCCACGCCAATATGATCTGTCCTCGTTAAGAAGCGGCGGCGGGGAGCAGATACGGAGCTGAATACTAACCTGATGCAAGATCTCCTCCATAGAGCGACCCTGCCGCCGCGTGTCGTCCGCGAATATCTCATCTCCTAATTTGGCGAAGTCGTAGTCGCTCAGATGGCAGGGCATGGCCGCCGCCGGAGACGAGAACCAGAGCAGCGTTTTGCACGCCGGGCCCATGATCTCCTTCGTTTTATCGATCACCAATCCTCCGATGAAGAAGTCCATCTGATAGTCTCAGTCAGGGAAAACAGACGTTGGGTCATGAACTGGTATACGCACGTGGATAGCATGCGGTTTGGGCCAAGCTGCGCTCTCGCCAGCGGGTCCGCTTTCTGCCAGCCATTTCATCCATCCCTGAGCTAGCTCCGCAAATGCATCCGCAAGCTGAGTCGGGCTGAATGGCAGGCTACAGAATTTGAATGTGAGGGCTGGCGGATGGGTGACACAGACAGTGCACGTACTTCCCCTCGCCCACACCTATGATTCGTAGTCTTTTCTCATCGTACTCGAGGGTCTTCAACTCCTTTTCCATTTGCGGCACTGACACCGATAGCTTTAAGGATCGCAATCCTTCCATTACATTGAAATACACACCGACGAGATTGTGCTCGAACAGGGTGATAACGAGAGCAGGGTCGTGCTTCAGCATCTGGATAGCGAGGGATATGTAGTTGACAACATGCCCCCAACCGGGGATAAGCAGTGCGACGATGTGGTGAGTTTCAGCGGCCATGGTCGATTCGAGGGTGTATGTGGATTGCGGGTCCTACAAACTGCGTGCGGGAGCTTATATACTGCAACGGCCTGCTGCGGCGGCTTCGATCATCAGTTTGACAACTTTGACTGTATACCATTAGTAATGCCAAACGCAGGTTAAGATTTCAAACACACGGGCCCAAAAAATTATTTGAAACTGTGCTGCCTGGTTTTGTAACGAACCTTCATGAGGGCAGCTCGCTCGCTCCTTTCGAGGCAGAGAAGGAAGTGGTTATCTGGAGAGCATGTTGATCTACGTTGATGATAATCGATAATCACTGGTGCACCATTGACACCGGATCAGCCCGGACATGATCCCGAACCGACGTCGTTACAATTTGCAAGCTTCTGAATCCGCGCAGTCGACTTCCCGGCTTCAAGGTGTGTGCCTAGTACTTCCAGTGTCTTATCAAGCCTCGCACTGCTTGAATTTCCTCTGAGGGATTCCGCCTCCCTCTGAACCGAAACATCCGGAGCATCAATGTGCCTGACGCCGGATCAACGGGGGATTGCGCAACTACACAATTGCAAGTTCAACGGTCCAGAAAACCCTACGAGTCTTCGCTTTGGTCGCTCAACGAATGGCTCGCGCGTAGCGTTGGTATGAGAGACCGCGTGATCGTCTAAGAGCAGAAAGCCGGCTGAAAGGAAAACAAATTCGAGAAAATTGTTCAATACTTACCCTCGTGTAAAGTTCATGGCTTCTTTGAAGTGCTTGAATAGCCAAGGAATAGCTCGGAGAAAGGATATATAGGATGAACACCGGTACGACCGGTGATAGCCGGCCACACTCTTCTCCAGGATCTGCGAGAAACATTTGCCGCTTCTTCCGTTCAAGTTCTGCGAACATCTGAACCAACGCTTCCTACAATGCAGGCTCTCCGCCGTCGATACTGAGATTTCAGCTCCATACCGCGGACACCTTTCCCGGCTGACTCCTTTGCCTATGGAATTATGAATACTGTACTATTTCGTTCAGGTCGACCGTCACGCGTCACGCCCCCCTTGGTCGATGGCGAATTTTGATCGTTTGTCACGCGTCACCCACGCCTTGGTCGAATCAAAATTCCGTCACGCTGTTCAATTTTTGCTCAAAATTGTGCTCGCGACGCGAAAATACCCCCAAAAATCGGCCCGCTGGTCGGAAATTTCGGTTGGTCACGCAGAATTTCGGCCCTGGTCGGATGGTCGAATCGGTACTTTGTGTCACGCGTCACACCCCAGGTCGATCTGAATGAAATAATACAGTACTGTACTATTTCGACCAAGTGTTCATTGATTTGGTAATTTTCGATGTCCGAGGAGGCCGATATGAATCAAGTCGATTTTTGCACACATCAAAAAAAAACCCGGTGTAACGCGTAACTGAACACTCGGTCGAAATAGTACAGTATATGAATCTTCAAAGTTCAAACTCCATTAAACGTGATTTAAACTCACAAGCACGCCAGCACTGGTCCTTCAAGCGCACTCTTCTCTCTCTATATCAGTACCGACCGGCTTTAAATCCCAACATCGGAGGCTGGAGCTGTGATTATCCGCCTCTCCCCATCCCTTCTCCGGTTAGTTCCCCGATTCTTGAGCTACGAGGGACAACGGGAGAGCAGAGACGTGGGTTCGACGTATCACACTAGATAGCGGAATTGCAGGAACGAGAGAAAAAAAAAGTTGAACTTGCACTGCAAGCGAGTTCGGGTGCGGGGAGTCGAACCCCGGCCTGCGCGCATCTAGGTCTTCAAAGAACGCAACAAGGAGACGCGCGGTGCACCGTACACCACACCCGAGTACGTTTTCATCAGCGTTGCGCTCTATTAGTACCGAGCAGGTTTGTATTTCAACAGGACGTATTCGGGATCCGTGCGCGGGGCGAAATCCAGGAAACAGAGACGAAAGAAAGAAATGGTTGGATCCACGCACTGCAGGCGACGGGCGGGGAGCCTGCGCGCTTCCGCACAGTGGTATTACAGATGAAGCTAAGGCGTGTGGCCGGTGCACCGTACACCACACCCTTCTCCACGTCGCGCCGGCGGCTTTGATTCTTCAACGTTCAACACGGGCGACTCTTTGCGCGTCTGCCTTGAACCTTCTCCCTGATCGATGATCCTTGGACAAATTCGGGAGGATCGACGTGCCGAGCGCTCGTGGCGGAGTCCCAGGAATGAGTGTAAGAAAAGAATTTCTGAGAGAGAGATTCAGAAAACCGTGAAAAAATGCAGCTCACGAGTCCGTTAGTCGGGCGCGGGGAGTCGAACCCCGGCCTGCGCGCTCGGTTCAATTTGCCTCCTGGTCAGGAAGACGCGCAGTGCACCGTACACCACGCCCGACTTCTTCCTCTGTACGCATCGCTCGCTATCACTGTAATTTTCAACAGCTGTGTCAATGTCATTGGACATCAACACGGGCCTTGAAGCTCCTCTCCTGTCCTTTTCCCTGATCCTTCCCCAGTGTTTGAACCACAACGAAAGAGCCACCGGTTCGCTACGGTGCCGCGCTGGTGGCGGGGTCCCAGGAATGATTCACAGTGTAAGACAAGAGAGAGAGATTCAGAAAACCGTGAAAAAAATGCAGCTCACGAGTACGTCAGTCGAACCCCGGCCTGCGCGCTCGTTTTCTCCCCCTGTTGATCTGGGGAAGCGGTACACCACACCCGACGTCCTTCCCTAGACTCCGGAATCCGGATATGACTTCATATCACATATAAGAGTCAAGACACCCTTGACATCTTCGAGGGCGGCGTACGACCAAGTCATGCTGCAGTGCTGCCCTGATGGATCCGAGTTCGGCTTGAGGCAGGGGGATCGATCTCCGAGGCGGAGTCGGAGTCGGGAGTTTGGCAGTATGTAGGAGGAGGGGGAGGCGGAGCGAGCGCCGAGCTGAGAGCATTGGTCGAACGTTAACGCGTTAACCTCGATCTCGACGAGGCGCGCAGAACCGAGCCACAGCCGGTGCCCCTCCCACCCCCCCCACCTTCCCACCTCCCCCCACCCCGAAATCGAATCGAAAACTAACTGCGAAAAAATCGAATCAATAACCACTGTCTACCATCTACCATCTACCTACTCCCTCTCTCCCTCCCCCTCACTCCCCCCCCCCCCCTCGACGTCGACCCGAAGCCAAGCAGCGCGAATAAAGCATAAAGATAGCAGCAGCAGCAGCGCAATGTCCGTCCGTTCTCCTTCTCCACCCTCTTCCTCCTCCACCCATCCTGTCTCCATTCCATCCCTCGTCCGTCCCATTATCTCTCCCACCCTTCCACTCCACCCTTCCCCCCACTCCCTGCCTCCGGCTCTCCCATCCCTTCCTCCGGCTCTCCCACTCCTCCCCCCCTCGTCGCAGCCGACGCCGACGCAACGAAAGGAAGCGAAGGAAGGAATAGCAACGCCCCATGCTTTAATTCGTACAATATCGTTTTCTCCTTAACTTATCCTCCTCCTCTCCTCTCCTCTCCTCTCCTCTCGTTCGATGCGTGCGGGTCCTCAGTACTCAGTCTTGAATCTTGTGTGCGTTGTCGGTTTTTGTGTTTTATAGAGTTTTGTGTATGCTGATGCTCAATGCTGGGGGGGGGGGGAGATGGGGGGGGATTAGACGGGCGGTGGCGAGCGCGAGCGCGGGCGCGGCGGGGCGGGGCGGCGGTACGTCTGCGAAGAAGCCGGGGTCAGTATACGAGTCCGTGAGCAGAGACAGAGACAGAGCAGGGGGGAGGGGGCAGGGGCGGCGTCGACATTGCCACTATCACTGCAAGGCAATGCACTGCCGCATACATAGCCCAGCCAACACGCGGACGGGGCGGGTGGCAGCACACGCGACACGACACAGGGAGCGGAAAGAGGGGAGACGATAGATGGGATATGAGATGAGGCAAGAGGGACGGGACGCGGGACGTGGGAAGGGGAACGGGGAACGAGGAACGAGGACGGGGAAGGAGGAACGAGGCTCGGGAGAGGGGAGCGTAGAACGGAACGGAACGGAATGGGAAGTGGGGATGGGGAAGCGGGAATTGGGAGTGGGATTGGATGTCGGGTATTGGGAAACGGGAATTGGGAATCAAGGAACGGGCGACAGGAACTGGGTGCGCGATAAGGCGCGGGAGAAGAGGGCGGATGAAGGAAAGGAGGGAGGGGCGGGACGAAGACGAGGAGGGGCGCGGGAGCAGAGGGACGAAGGCGAGCAGGGGCGGAGGAGGGGCGGAGGGAGCGGGGTGGGTACGAAGGGAGGGAACGAGGGAGGGAGGGCGATGGGGAGATGGGGAGACGGAGCGCCCCACGACCGCCGACGCCCGGCCAGACGCGGGCGCAGGCGGGACGTGGGGAGGAAGAGGGGGACGGTGGAGCGTTGGTACCAGTAGGGGTGGGAGGCGGGTGGGACCGGGAGGGTGGACGTGGGAGCGATGACGTGGCATCCGACGTGCGGCGGGGGGGCAGACTGAGCGCGAGGGGCGAGCGACGGGCACGGGCACGGGCAAGTGGAGGGAGGGGTAGGGTAGGGTAGGGTAGGGTAGGGTAGGGTAGATGGAAATGTGGGATTACGAGATAGATAGGAATTGGGGCGATAAGGGGTCGTAGGGGCCGAGTCGAGACTCGAGGAGGGGCCGCGGATGGATGGGTGCGGGTGCGGGTGCGGGAGCAAAGCGGACGGACGGGACGAGGGTGAAGGAAAGGAGGGAAGAGGGGCAGGCACAGGCACGGCGGGGCGGACGGACGCGAGGCCGCGGAGCGCACAGGCAGGCAGGACGGGGAATCAGATGCAGGCAGGACGGGGACGCGGGGAGGGAGGACACAGGCAGGCACGCAGGCAGGACACAGGCAGGACGAAGGAGCAGCAAGGAAACGAAGGACAGAGCTGGAGAGAGGGAAAGAGGCAGAAGGAGACGGTACGCACATGGCGGCTCATGATCATCTTCGCCATCGACGCGGGCGCGCAGGCGTACAGCGCGGGCACTATGCACGCACACCGCAATCAGAACCACAACCCTCCTGCACAACGAGGGAACGTACGGGGGGCATCAACGAGCGCGCGTGCAGCGAGCGCAGGCTCGGGGCGGCGCACGGGCCCCGCGCGCATGGGCGCTGCGCGGGAGCCAGAAGGCGGCGGTGGGGGGAGCGTCTCGAAGGCGAGCGTCGGGCGCCAGGATGCCTTTGGTTGCGCGGATGTCGGTTGCGGGGGCGTCGGGTGCGAGTGCTTCTCCTGCGTCTGCGTCTGCGTCTGCTTCTCCACCGCTGCAGGGGTAGGCGCACAGGCGGCGGGGGGTGCACACGAGGGCAGGACGAGGCGCTTCCGGCGGAGGGCGAGCGCCGCGCGCGCGAGGGCGAGGAGGGCGAGGGCCGCGAGGAGCGTGAGGGCGAGGCACGCGGGCGCGAGGGCGGGGACGGCGAGGCGCAGGGACAGGGAGCCGGCGGGGGCGGCGTGCGCGGGGAGGATGAACATCTCTGCGGCGGCGGGGCGACGGGTACGTGGGCAGCAGCAGGCTGGGGTGTGGGACGCTGTGTTAAGTAGGCGCGGCGGTTGCGTGCCGAGTTTGATCCCTTGATCTCTGATCCGGCGCCGGAGGCTAGGCTTGGCGGGATCTCAGATCGGGTAAGCGGGTAATTGCGTGTCGTAATTCCCGCTCTCCTACTGCCAAAGTCCCCGCAGATTCTGCGCACGAATCCCCCCCCTTCAATTGCCATTGGGCACCCTGGGGCGGATTACTCCGACCCTCCGCCCCACGCGAGGTTCACCCGCTCAGAGCTCGCGTGATGCATATGAGTACTGCCATATGGGGCCAGGCAGGCTGACACAGCGGCGTGATCGCCGGCGCCGCAGATCGTATCGTACGTTCCCTCAATATAATCATTTTGATTTAATATTCCCTGTCGTCTTGCCGTCGTCTCGTCGTCTCGTCGCCGCCGTCTGGACCCTCTCGACGTCGGCGTCGCGCTGCCAACCCCGTCGCGGCGTAGACTGCGGTGCGACGTGTCTCACGCTGCTCCGCCCACACGGCGCGATAACATTCTGATTATGATTACTGTACATAGAGGCGCTGCGGTCTCGTCGTTGCTCGCCGCTGCTTCTGCTTCTGCTTCTGCTTCTGCTTCCTGAAGTTCTGTTCTGATATCATACGACTTTGGCGCCGTCGACGTGGCCCCCGCCCATTCGCCCGTTCTTCCCCACCAGCCCCCGTGACCCGCCCGTCCCTGGACTTTCGCGCGCTGCAAGTCCAGGCGCTCTCCTTGTCTTGGATCTTTGGGCAATGGGCTGACCTATGTACCCCGCACTGCTGGCCCGGGGTAGATCTCTCTATCTCTATCAGTCTCTATCGCTATCAGTCTCTATCTCTATCGCTATCGCTATCACAATTAGATCGGCATTCCGAGGACGCTGATGCAGTTTATCTCCCGTGCGAGATCCCAGATGGCATGCCGTCGTGCCGTCTTCCCTTCCCTCCGTCTTCCGTCATGCGTCTTCCGTCTTCCCACCGCAGTCCCGCCACCCCCGACTCACGTTCACGTTCACGCTCCCCTCCCCGTCCGCCCTCGGCTCGCGTGTCCTGTAGGCTGTAACTTGGAAGCCGCGCCCGCGCCCAACCCGGTCCCGACCCTGAGGCCTGAGGCCTGAGGACCCTGCCCGCGCCTGCCCGTCCTTTCCCTGACCGCCGGCCGCCTAATACCGCCTGCCGCCTACCGCCTATCCTGCCCGCCGCCCTCCGCCTCCGCGGGCCTCTTACTATCAGTCTCAGCGTGCGCCCCACCATCATCCCGCCCCCCGCCGCCGCCCCGCCCGGCGTCTTAAGTCGTCCTCGTCCCGCCCGAATTCGCTCAGTGCTGAATACATGAAGCTTGAAGCGCTGAGATCTGAAGCTTGAAGCACCGCATCTCCAAAAAAAAAACCCCCCACTAGTACTCCCAAATTTTCTTTCCCTAGGGCTCGAACGTTCAACGTTCGTGCCCACTGCCGACCCCGTCCGTGTGATCTGCTCTGCCGACCCCGTATCCCCGTCCGTATCTGCGCTGCGAGCTGTATACGTACGTAGGCAACTTGAAGAATCATTAATCAGGGAGAAGTACGTAGCAATTCGCTACTTACTTCTCTTGAAGAGAAGAGACTTCGACGGAGGAGACGCGGCGAGCCTTTGGTGGAACTACGGCTCGTCGCTGAGCGCTGAGTGGAGACGAAGGAGTGCGGAGGAAGGGAGTCGGGCGTGGGGTACGGCGCACGGTGCGTCTTCCTGACCAGGAGTGAAATCGAACCGTGCGCGCAGGCCGGGGTTCGACGCCCCGCGCCCGACTGATCAGACGTATTCGTGAGCTGCATTTTTCACGGTTATCTCTTCTCTCTCATCTCATTT